TGATAAACTCCCGATAACTCTGATTGATATCGAGGAACGAGACTGCAGAAATTGTCAAAAGATAAATGCAGATTAAATCTCAGTTGATTGAACTTTAAAAGGTTTTCCCCCCAAAAAAGTCTCGCTTGAAAACTCAGTGTCAAATTTTTGTGCGGATTTCTTGTTGGGTGGCCTGCCCCCTGCCTGCCTGATTGATTGACAATGATTGACAATTAAGCCAGCCATGTGTCAGTGTCTCTACACACATTTACATACAGCAGTAGCGTTTCTCATGGCACATTGAACGGGCTTATTATGGCAGTAACTCAAGGCGAACGCCACTTTTGGCGAAGAAGAAGTGTGGCTCGGAAGTGTGGTTCCACCCACTGGAAATACAATTCAAATCGATTTCGTACACTCGATAACTACAAGTGGAGTCCCGGTCAATGGGGGGGCCTATATAATTACGATTACTTTGTTTGAAATTCTGCTTAGCAGTAGCAAGGGCGCAGGCCTTGGAGGTCACATTTGGGGTTACACGTGTCGCGCGTCTTGCGGCAGCGCCTCTCGGTCGGAAGGGCAGTATTTGTGCCTGCGAAAAAAAGAAAACATTTCCCTGATTCACTACCGTGTGAAACAAATGAATTACCTTCTCTCTGCTGCAACATTTTCCCATGTAAAATCGTTGCCAAAACCCCGGCCAGACGATGACTATGCGTCACTTGAAATTTGTTTAAAACCAAATAAGGAAGTAATCAAACCGAATGTCAATTACAATTACACACGCATTCAGAGACAGACAGAGACAGAGAGCCACGGACCCCGTACTCGCAATAAATAAAGCAAATTGCTCATACGCCATGTAAGCCGGTCGAACAGTCTCCTCCGAAATTGAATTTCAGTCGATTCATTCGCCTTGATTTCCAGCTCGACGAACTATAAAAATGTTACGCACAAATTAAATTCATGAAGTTCAAACACACACAGAAAAATTCCAAACTGAAACGAATTACGCGGCATGCATACCGCTTCCCCCCCCACCAGAAATCTGGAGGGGTTTTGCCATGCCTCTGGGGAAGGTCAAGTGCAAGCGCCAAATGTGTTTTATATTGTTTCTTACATTAGTGGCAACTTTTTGTTTAATTAATTTTTAATACAATTTTTTTTTTGTTGTTCGCTGGCTTGTTTTTCTTGTTGTTTTGACAAGCAACGTGGATGACGATGATGATGTGACAGGCGGCACGGCGCACAGCACAACTTGGGTGGTTCTGGAGGCTAATTGTGGCAGTTATGGATTGTCGCTTTGGGCACTCAAAAAGGTGCTTAGGTGCTACCACTTCTGAGGCATTGAGGAAAGGCTATACACTGCCCTTTGAGCGGGGTTTTTATTTAAGAGACAAAACGACGCCTAATTAATGCAACTATGCAAATAAAATATAAGAACACAAGGAACTATTTTTTTCAAGTCTTCGTGAGTTTTTAAAGTCAAAATATTAAATGGCAGCTTAAAAAAAAATTTATAAAAAATACAATTAATTAAAAAAATGATCTTGCTATAAAAAAAAAATATATTTAATCATGGCGGAAGTGCAGAAATTGTATAAAAATAAAGATTTTTCTGTAAAAAATGTTTTTCTAGGTCAATTAAAAGTAAAAGATTTTTGTATTAAAAAAAAAAAATCATTTTTTACGGTCCCTACATAATTCATTAAAAAACATTGATTTTTTGTTGCCTACTTTATAATTGAGAATGTTTTTTTACAATGTATATACTTTAATAGTCCTCCAATTTCTTAAAAAATCCTTGAATATATAAGTTTCTATTGGAATCTCAAACCTGTCATCAATTCAGGTATCTTTTATCAATATTTCTTTAATAATCTCTTTTTGCTGCCCTGGTAATAATAATTATTTATAAATTATCATGTAATTTGTATACACATATTTTTGTTCGATTGCCATCTTCATTGTTGGGGATCTTTCATTACAATCACCCTACAATTACCATACCATTCCGTTTAAATAATCTACCATCTCATTGGATATAATGCACTCTCATTGCCCTGAAATGCCGAGAGATCGCTCGGCCCGGTCGTGGTTCACCTTGAACTTGGACAAAGTGCAAGGCACGAGAGGCATGGCATCCACGGCGAGCAGATAGTCGGCAAATCCGCTTTATTTCCATTATAATTTTCCATTACACTGCCCTTTCCCTTTTCGTTGGTGTCGGTGTCGGCGTCTGGCAGTTGAGTTATGAATGCTTTTAGTGGCCAAAACAAAAAAAAAATAAAAACTGAGTCAGTCGAGCAGGTTACCAAAAAAACCAACAAAAATTGACCGCCGCGTGCTGTGCATTTTTGATATGGAACACGTACTATCCAAAATGTATGTGTATATATTTTTCCATGCAAGAAACCATTTCTGTAGTTGTGTTCTTTCGCATCGAGGGACCAACGACCGTCCTCGAATGTCTTTAGCTTCTTTTGGCGACACATCCGTATTTTTGTTGTATTATTTAATGCTTAAATTTTAAACGGTAGCCACTTGTTGCGTAGCTCAGAAGTTGATTTTGTTTCTCTGTTGATGTCGAGTGATTAATTTTAATTTTTTTTTTTAACAAATCAACGTATTTTGTTTCACGGAAAAGGGAATTTCAATTTCAAGCTGCTTGGCCATTCCCGGAGTCCGGGGGGCTGCCCGCCAGTCGTTGACCGCTTGGGCCGCGACCTTGCCGTCTGAATTTTCGTTAAATTAAGTTTGCGGTTGCTCCGGGATGCTGTCGGATGCTGTTTTGGATTTTTCTGGTTTTTATACGCCGCTCTCCAAGGTGATAATTTAGCATATAAATGCCGCTAGAACAAAAGACTTTGGCAACGAACTTGAGCTGCCGATTGTTTTGGGTGAGTAAACATGTGATTCGGCTTCGATTGGGTTTCTCTTCTGTTATTCTTTTATTGGATGCGCGGATGAATCACGGGAATGCATTGCGGATATATTAGAATAATTTGGAAATAGGGGAACAAAATACTACAAATCAATGCCGTACGTTTTCATGGAGAAATACTTTATTTTCTTTTAGTTTATGTTACGTTTTTTAGAGCAAACCAGCTGATTAGTGTATATACTGAATGGCAAATTGCCAGTCACGTGTGCACGTATCGAGTTGGATAACTTTTATGCGCGAATGTGGATGAGGTTTGTATGAATGTATATTCAATTATTTTTTTCATTGATACAAATTCAGCTTATTCCTTAATACAAGTTTCCCATAAGCGAAAGGCTACATTCAATTCTAAGCCTAAGTTATACCGTACTGTCTTTTGCTTTTTTATAGGAATTATTACTAATAAAAATTTACTTTTCATCCGTATTTTATCCATAAGATCCTTTCACCTCGTGCTGGTCCTACTTTCCTATCAACTCCTTGTTATTTATATCTAAAACCATTCCAAATCTAAGTCTTTAACAATTATATAAACAGGATCCAAAGTCTATTCCTGCAATCCCTCTTGAAGTTAAAATTTTGTATAATGTATTATTTTGCATTTCATATTTCCGCTTAATTTTTTAAAGCAATTCCCCTTCTTTGTACAAATAATTTAACAACTTTTCAAAGTACATACTTCATATTTAATATTCATACGACTTTTGCATATTTTTTCCTAATCTTTAGTGCATATTTATTTTGCATAAAAATTAATTGCTCAAAACAAGCCAAAGCTTATCTAATGTTTTTCCAAGTTCTTTGCAAACATTTGGAATAGTTCAAAGAGCGCATTTATGTTTCATTTATTATGCATTATTCAACAACATTTGTGTGTGCGTTTTATGGCTAATTTCGCACATCATAAAAGATGTTGGCTGTGCGTCTGCGACTCTCTGCTTTAGCCACATTGCAACAGAGATAGAGATGTTGTTCTCTGTTTGCTAACCAAATTTGCAACTGTCAAGCACTACCAGATGAGAGATCTCCATCTGAATGGACTGAATGGATGGACTGGCAAGAGATCACAGAGGCTAACTCGTGGATCTGGCGATGGTGCGTGGCACGGTAGTCGCTTGTAGGAATTCAATTAGCAAATTAAATATTAATTACTTACCAGCCGGCTATAGATGCTAATTCAATTAGCGGACACCAGAGCTAGTGCCAGGTGCATATCATTTTCAACATTTAATATGGTAAGTTTTTCAATGTACTCTTTGGAAGAGGGTATGACAGTTTTTCATAGAAATATGGAATACAGAGAAGGTAGAGAAGTATTCTTAACAGGGGTCTGGGGCACCTTTTTCTATTAGACTTTATTCGCGAAAGTTTTAAAAAAATTTAAAAAAAAAAAAATTTCACTGGATTCAATTAACAAGTTTACCATAAGCGAAAGGCTACATTCGATTTCAATAAAAATAAATAGACGATAGAACAGACATTTTTAATGGTGAAATCTACCAATCTTTTAGCCCAAAAAACCCCAAAAAACATATATCGGACTAATATAGCATATAGGAATTATCCCATTGCAAGGGTATCTAAAATCTTTCTTAAAATCTATGGGATTTTATTATTTAATTATTTTTTAGTTTTGCGTTGCTTTGGTTTTCACGGTGACAGGTGTTTCGATATTCTTGACTTGATGATTAAATTTTTTTTAATTTTTTAATGTTTCGTATTAACATTGTGTGAGGTCATCCCCAAAGTGAACCAGTTTCGAAATCAGTTTCAGTTTCGTTTTCGAAAGTATGCCAAAGTATAGTCGGGCAAGGTCCCTGATCAGGAATATAGCCCTGTAGCTGTCGTGGGGCCCCAAGTTCCCGGTCAGGTTTTATTTTTGTTGTTTTCTGTGCTCTCCCGCCCGATCTTCTGAGTGCTCCATAAATTCACACTCACTTAGCCGGCAATTAGCAACAGCCAAAGCTCTGGCCCCCAAAAGCTTTCGCTCTCCCTCACACGTTTTCCGATCGCTCTCTTACTGTATTTTGTCGGGCGCCGCGCGCCAAAGCTTACTCAGTCTTCCGAAGACAGACGCTCGAAGCGGACGCTGAAAAAGAAAACGTAAGACGGAGACGCGAACGTTGCGCAGGCGCTGACGACGATCGAATCGATTCCAGCAAAAGCAAAAGCCACCAACAGATACGAAACGGAATTGTGTTTTTTAGTTGTTTGCTTTTGTTTCGTGTGTGGTTTGGTGTGTGGTTATGCCATGCAAAACGCATGGTGGTAGAAAAGAAAATAACCAGAAACCGACAAAAAGTTTGCCAAAAAAAAAAACAACCGCAAAAGCCGCGCTCAATTCTAATTTCTTATAATTTGAAAACAGTATTATAACGGTAAAAATCTTTTCTGGAAAAAATCTTTCATCTAGTTATTTGTGTTTATGCTTTGTGTTTTTTTCTGCATAAATAGAAATAATAAAAACACATAAAGCAAACAAGCAACAAAAATACAATCCAATTTGCGGGCATCTTAAAAAATAATTAAAACAAATAAAACCAAAAATTGAGCAAATTTCGGCCATAATCGTAAAAAGTTAATTAAATAAGTGAAGCCACAGAAACTGTTGCAATTTTGGTTTTTATATAAAAACATGTGCGAAATAATATGCAATGCATTCAAGTAAATTAAACTGTAATTAAAGAGTGGTTGAGTAATTTATAAAAATACATAAAAATTAAAAGAGCGTTGGTCTTTTATTCAAAATCTACAATAAATCTTGTGTGTGCTAAATAAAAGAATCAAAGAATTTAACTATTAAACTCAAGTTAATAAAAACCAACTATTTATTGCATCACATATTCCTAAAAATAGTAAAGAAAAATCCGTGAACAATAGTTCCATAAATTATTAATATATAATCCAACGAAAAAGTGTCAGAAGCTCGACAAAAAAACATGAAAATCTAAAAATAAAACTTAATCACACACAAAGAACGCCCCCAAAATCTTATGAGATCTGCCGCATATGGTAGTCTCTCCCTCTCGCTCTCTCTCTATCTCTGAGGGAGTACAAAAAAACGTGCACGTTGTGTTGTTGTTAAATTTTGATGCACATTTTTCCCGTTGTCTTTTGGCCGCCCCTCTCTTACTCAACACTTGCTTTTGTTTGTCTTTGCCTTCTTCTTCTTCTTCTTTTTATTCCCCCGTTGGGCGCCTGTGTCTGGCGGTGTTTTATCGTTTGCTTTGCCCTTTGGTGTCTCTATGGGTGTGTATGCGTGTGTGCATCAGGTTGATTTCGGCTGGTGATGCGTTTTGACTGTGTAATTTCCATGTCGTGAGGCGGCGGCAGGAGGCAGGGCAGACACTGTAAGATTACTTCATCTGCAGTTCCATTTCCTATATGGTAGATGATTCAACTTGTTCGCATTCGCGTATATAACTGACTGACAGCACGCCAAACTGACCAGCGCAAAAATAAAAACTCAAAAAACTATAAACTGACACACAAAAGAAAGCTAACCGAAGTGTTTGGTACCGTGTAGGTTGTTCGCTTCTGCCAGAGTGTCTACTTTATGATATAATTTTAGAATGATTCAGAATTGATAGGAAAGTAGCCGGAAAATCAGAAAAGAAATAATAAGATTATACACCAAAATATACACACTTTCTTATATTCGATCGCTAATTCTGGGTAAAACCATAATACCCTTTCTTCTGCCGGGGTATCAAAACAGAAACGCAAAAAAATTGCACGAAAAAGCCGGTTGAAGGCGACTCTTACATATTTACACGCACCAGCGCTCATTGAACACACAACAAAAACTACACCGAAAGCAACCGCAAAAACAAAAGCAACAACCGACGAAAGCAAAAGCAACAAGGCGACACAAAAACCTGTAACGCAGGCAGAGACGTCGACAGAGGAGTTTTTAAAGACATTTGCAGAGGCAACCCCGACCACCCCTCAATCCCCGCACCAGCACCAGGTACAGCTGCGTGTTGATTATGTCAATTTCATGTTTGCTTCATTTCCTCAACAACCGGCAGAGGGAGGGGGGCCAAACAGGCGAACTGGCAAAGCTGGGCAAAGAGAAGAGAGCCAAGCCAACGGAAAGGGGAGCGGCAGCAATTTCACTTTCGTTGGACTTGAAAATAATAAAAGAAAAAAAAAAACCCACACAGCTGCAGTCAGGCGGTAGTCTCTGAGAGACATAATGGAGACAGACAGTGGCCACGAGAGAGAGAGAGAGAGAGAGCAAAAGAAAGAAACGAAGCTAAAGAGAGTGAGAGTGAGCTGCAGTTGGAAGCTGCGGTGACGCCACTTGCTTTGCGAGGCTGTTGTTGCTGGTATAGTGGACAGTGGGGTGAATAAGTGAAATGGGAGCGATTTCTAAAGTTAGAATGAAGACATGGCTTGCGAATTAATGTGTCCCACAGTGATAAAGACTTTTTAAATGCGCGACCATCGCAAAGTGGGCTGCATCCTAGTGCTGCACTGACGCCACTTGTTTTGCGGGCGTTCCTACTAGCCTTGGACGGTTAAATTAAATGCTCAAAGAATTTATAATAGAATAGTGAACAGAACGTGCATGAAATAGTAAACTAAAAGTATAAAATTGATTTCTCGAAATCATGAACTATTCGATCCACTGTCTTTCGCTGCCGGAGACAAACAGTAGCTTGGAAAGAAAGAGAGCACGTGATAGTCGAAGCGGCGATGATCACAAGATGCAGTGGGAATTTTAAGCGAAATGAGAACCATGTGTGATTGGAAAGAGACAAGAAAGACGGCATGTTATAAAGTGAATATTAATTGTGATTGAAATCTTTAAAATCAAAGATGATCGTCGATGGATAGACAGCAGCTGCCAGAGAAAGAGAGCAAGTGAGAGTGAGAGCAAACAAATTAGTGTGTGCTGCGCTGACGTCAGTCTACAATGGGACTTTTAAAAGAAATGCTGGCCACAAATATTTGACCAAGGAAGCTTTCAATGATTTTCGTAACGACTATTTATATTTTCAATTTGTGATAAAAAATATAAAGCATAAATTTAATAATCCAGCCAAAAGCTCTATGCGCTCCACTGTCCGTTATCGCCTTTTGTGTGTGCGTTGGCTGCTTGTTTTTTTCCCTCTGCTCTGCCTATGCCTCTCCCACTTCGTTTCAGTTTCATTTTGTAACTGTAATGTCTCTGTTTTCATTGTTGTGTTTGTGCCATTGTTGTTGCTGCTTTAGTGCCTGTAACGTAATAGCGTAATATGCTTGCCGATTTCCACATGCAAGAGAGACGCTGCGAATGCGTTGAGCTTTACGTTTTGGTGCCAAGTCCAGCGTCGACCGCAAAGCAGCGGCCGCAAAATAGCGGCAGAAAAACATTGACTGCGACTGCGACTGCAACTGCGGCAGCGCCAGCGGCTGCATTGTTGTCCGAGCATTGTTGTACGCTTTGCAGGAGAGTGTCTTGATTTTGGGCAGACGTTAGTGACATACAGAGGGAACTTCTTGGGTTTGCTAAGATATAATCACATTATAATAAAATAAGTCTGTACTTTAATGCTTTTCTTGATAACTCTGCCAAATTTTGATTAGCTTCGAAATATTTTAGCATACAGTATTTATATAAACGATCGACTGGAAAGAGTATTGACAGCTTCGACCACCTGCACTGGCTTTCCCTTTCGTGTTGCTTTTGTTGTAAAATTGTGCTAATAAAGCGCGTCGAATCAAAAGCGGCACCAGCTCCTGCCACAAAAATGCGAAGGTCAACCAGCAGCAGCAGCAGCAAAAACAAAGGCTTAAAAAGCTCACCCCCTACATTTTTGCACCTTGTTAGTTTTTCCATTAATTTTGTTGGCCTTTTTTTTTGTTGCTGCTGCTGTCAGACTGGCGAAAAATTCTAATTATAAATGAAACAATTTATTACCGGGTTTTTAAAAATAAAATGCAATTTATGTGCAACGTCTGGCGGCGGTGGCGGCACCGTTGACTAGTTAAACCGGTTCATTGCAACGTGCAACAAACAGCAAAAAACTAAAACTACAACAAATAACATCCAACTCAATGGGGGTGCACCCCCCACTATCCTCCCACCTCAGAAGCAGACAGTAAAATGCATTTTCCAAGAAAAACATTTTTCTGGCATTTAAAGAATTGCCAGAAAAAAATGTTACGAAAATAAATCGAAGATAAATCCAAATGATATAATTCTTTGAAATTAAGGAAATTTATGGAAAATAGATTTACATTTATGCCAAGAACAAATGTTTTTGTGGTTTTTTTAAACAAAAGAAATAATTAAATCTTTATTGAAAAAAAAAACCAATTCAATTTAAAACCAATATTTACTGCAATATAATTCTCTTAACAAGATTATGTATAAATTATACAGAAATTACATGATAAATAAATAACCTCAAACAAAAGATTAATTAAAATGCCTAAAACAAGTCCCTGAATCCCTAAAACAAGTGCAAAAAACACGATTAAATACAAGCCTTTAAAATGTATGAAAATTTCTTGTGTATAAAGCTGTGAAAACAAGAATTTATTTTCAACAAAAAATTTAATTAATAAATTAGCTGCAAAAAAGTGTGTGCGTGTGTGCAAAAATTGATGCCAGTCTGCCATTATCGTCTTCATTAATCATAAATGCAAATTTGTACGATTATTTAGATAAAACGAGGATATATTATATATTTTGGAATCGGACATCAAAATTGGATTAAACAAAATAAGCAATCATATCGAAATAAAAAAGTTACAAATAAAAAACCAATTATTTTGTATGCCGGTTTCTGCTTGACAAGTTTGGTAAGTGAACTTTAAAACAAAAATAAAACATTGATGGATGGATGGAGATTGAACAATAAATAAATTAAATGTTAATAAAGAACGAATTTCTAAGCATCATTGCGGAACTTGCTAAATCTATAGCCCAAAGGTATACAGTCGATTCGATTCTCATTCTACCCCTGAGGGGCCTCCATCTGTACGGACTTTCACATGCCAGAACTCGTGCCGTGCTGTGCTGTGTGCTGGGGAAAACCGACTGAATGTTGAGATATCGATCGAAACTTACATCCGCGTGCCTCTGTCCACGTAACAAGTTATGCGTATGAGCAATGCTCTTAACCGCTAGCCTTTGCCTTCGCCTCTGTCTTCCCAGCTGAACAAAAATTTAAAGGGTATAATGGGTTTTTTAATTTCATTGGTTTGGTTTTTGCAACAAAGCTGATGAGTTGATGGATATGAGATCATGGCAATGACGAATCGGGATGTCTTGAGATCATGGCATGGATCCTGAATGTCTTTCTCAGATGCGAAATTTTGTACTGAAAAGTATTGTATTTTTTATTAGTGTTTCTCCTTTAAACGTGTTAGGGGCAGGGATATTTTTACATATTAATTTCTATAAAATATTTTTTATATTTATTTTGATCGTAGTTTTTCCTACAAAATATTTTATAGAAATTTTAAAAATTTTGCTTTAAATTTCTATTGAGTTATGAGATATGATCAAACGTTATCTTAACCACTATAATATGCTCTTCCTTGATATAAAATTTGAGCTATGTCAAGTTTCTGTAAAGAATTTCCTTATCCTTTGGTTTGATATTTAAATTCAGTTAATCGTTCAAATAATATTTATTTTGAGTCTTTAATTTCCATTGAGTCTTGATTTGAAAACCTCACCACTCGTCTCGCGGTAGATCTTTTGGCCTCAAGTTCAACCTCTAGACAACCTCATTAGCATCTCATTGGTAGTTCCCCACGTAATGTTGGTCCTAGGGTATTTATAAATTCGCCACCAAAACACACATATTATCATTCAATTTCATTCAACACTTAATTATAGTGGCTTTTGCCGACGTCATTCACTCCTCAGAGGAGGCAGAAGTCCGGCAGTCAGCAGCTGATGTCGATGATGGTTTCTCGCCGGTCAGTCTCTTAATTGTTCATCGTATCTGAAGATTTTCGTTGAAGTCGCGTTTTATTGTTAATTTGTTTGTCGCTGGAATCCGGTTCTAGGTCTCATTTCTGGTTCGCTCAATCTTTGTGGCTTTTCGAAACAAACATTTTGTTGAGGCTTTGAATTTAAAATGCCTTTGTTTCAAGGAATGCCAGAAAATCTTTTCCTATTTTTGCTTGGTATCTTTTACATTTCCGGGTAGAGATACCCCCCACGGAATGGTATAATGTACGTATAAATTGATTTGCATATTTTTTCTCTCTATTTACCAAACTAATTTTTGCATTGAGCTGCCTGTCACTTGAGGTTTGAAGTATTCGCTACCTAAAAGCTTAGTCACGAATTGCAGATATATGGTATCTGCAAGATGCGATGAGAGCGGTCTTTTTGCATGATTTTGCAATGCAAATCTCATTAATTAAGTGCTCTCTCAAAATATACATCCATCCATCCATCCATCGCTTTAATTTTGGGTTTTTTTTTCTTACATATTTATTTTTATTAATTTATTGATTTTTTTCCCACATACAGATTCCCCTCAAACATCACAGCCATAAGCCTCAACCAGCATGAAAGGCTGGTTCGACGCTTTTCGAGACGATGGGGGACCAACGCTATATTCATTCTCCAACCGAACACCCGTCACCGGTGATGTCTCCATTGTGGCAGTATCGGTTCTATTTGCCACATTCTATGTGGCATTTTTGGTCATATTTCCGGGTGTACGAAAGCAGGTGAGTGGGCCAGTGGGCTACGGGAGTAATCGTATTATTAAATTAACCTCAAATGATCTTCATTTCGATTTATTCATTTAACCAGTTCGTAATTTATGTGTTTTAAATACCAGTTCATGAAAATTTAACCTAAAATGGAATCTTTTTTCGACTAAATTAAATTTTGTTTGAATTTTAAATTAAATTTTGTGGGTTTAATGTATAATTTAAATGTTTTCCAATGACACGGATTCTCTGAAAAAATTTTCCATGAGCGAAAAGACACATGCGTTCTGAAGAACTAGTTCTTTTTTCTTATATATAAAAAAACCACCATAAGAAATAATTAATTTAATTACTTCAATAATCCCAAGAGATTAATAGCCATGGGACATTTATTTTGATTATATATATATTTTTTAGATCTAAAAAAATTAACAGCCCAACATTTGCGTGTAATTCAAGTTTCCTGAACCAGTCCCCTGGCATCAAATTAGATCTAAAATAGTGCTCATAAAAGTCGTACAATCATCGTAAATGAAATACATAAAGTACATTTCATTATCCGTGTAGCGTATAGCCGCAGCCGTCGAAGTGTGGTATATATTACCATATCGAATATTAATTGACATGCGGATTGTAGCCGCTACTTGAGAACTGAACGTCCGATCCGATACGTTTTCTCACGCTGCTGCTGCGGCTGTTGCCGGCTGGTCTTCGGTCTGTGGGTCTGTGGTCTGTCTAATTGAATTGTGGCAGTGCCTGTAATCGACGGCACGTTTCCAAACAGATGTCAGATAAATCTTGAATAAAAACGATGTATACTTTTGTATAGACAGAGACTTGTGTAAACCCGTTTTCGGGAAGGCGCGCCCTTTTCTTGTCTTTTGGCGTGGCAATCGAATACCAATTGTTTGCTTAATTAAAGTTTGGCAATACTTCTAACACTTTTCCATTAGCGGTACATTCACAGTCGAGAATATTGGTGACTGCACTGGGAGTTTTTAACGCTTACATGTGAATGGAAAAACAGCGGATTTCCGTATGCAAATGGAACAATGAGCCTCTCAAAAAACCTTTTTATTTTCGATCTTACTTGACCAGAAAGAGAATACTACGAAAGAATATCCTAGATTCCCAAAACCAGATGTTTTTGATGAAACCTAATCTCTCTTCTCCTATCATCACTCGTGATCACCACCACCACACCACATGATTAATTATATGTCTTAAGGTTTATCTGATGATGAAAAAGCATATTAACACCGGGTAACAACCAGTGTAGAATCCCGGAAAGATCACCCTTAATTGGATGTACCATTGATGTTCCTGATTCAAGTTTAAATTTGAGTGCATGAAAGTAGTGCCATTCTTTGTCCATAGCCTCAATCAGCGCTTTCGGATGAGCGGAATATTCAATATTTGGCTCGTACTCGAATGTGAGACGAGGAAACGAAGAGGTTGTAAATGGACGATTCACGTGTTGACGTTTTCTGACATTTTCTCTGTGCCAACTACTAAATATAGTCTCTATATGTCTCTCATTCATTGGAAATGTATCCTTTCGCTTGTGGGAAGTTTGTAAAGGGAATGCCGTTGCATTCACATCATATGTAAAATATTTCCATATAGAAATAAAGTAGAATACGATTATTTTCTGTAGAGTCTTCCTAGATATTGTATAATCAATTATTATGTTTATTCTTACAGAAATTCACAACATTCTCGACAGTCACTCTGTCGCTTTTTGTGGGTCTAGTCATACTGAGTGAGTACCAGATGTGTGACCTTCAATTGATATATGTATGAATATGAATATGAATATAATACCTGATTTGCATATGCTCAATCTTTTCACACATCTTTATCGCACCACCAAAAACAAAAAATCAACAACAACAACAACAGTCACTCGTTTGGGATCCGCATGGCATGTGGCACATGCAACCATCATTGCACCGTACAAAGCCTTCTCACGCGAGAAGCTACCAGCTCGGATCGGCACCCACATTGGCCTCATGCATGTCAATGTAACGCTGACGGGTAAGTTTGCCAATCTTTCAATCAGGGGCTTCCCAAGTACGTATCCGCGAGGAGTACTCGTACTCGTACTCGTATTCGTTGTATTCATCGGGTGAATGGGTGAATGGGTTGTCATATTTGATTATTTCTTGTGCAGGGCCCCCAAAAGATTGGCATAGCTTCGCTTCTATTTGTGTTTTGTGTTTGTATTTGTATTTGTATTTGAGTCTTTTTTGGTTAAATTTACTTAGGGCTAACGTTTAACGATTGGGCATGAGATTGTAGGGTAAACTTTGAGATCGATTTTGTGGTTTGTGTGATGAGGTGACATGGTAGGGTTATCCTTGATTGGTAAATAAGAGGCTTGAATATGTATTGAAAATCACTTGTTGATCTGTTGATCTAGAGATTAGAAATGGTTAAGGTCCAATAGAATACCTTTGCGAATGATGAATCCCAAGTACATTTATTAGCCCAAGAATATTAAGGTACATTTTTGAATGATTTCAAGGAGGTCTTGGTGGGGCTTGGGGAGGGTTCTTGTTCGTCAAAGAACTGGTTTTAATGGGATATGTAGGGGTAAAGCTTATAAATTGATTAAGTTCCAGAGAAATGCGATCAATGGAAACATTGTGACCATTCCAGGTACATTTGGGTTCAATTTTTAAAGGATATGGAGGATTAGGGATAATCCCTATATCACGTAAAAATATTCTAATTGAGTTTTTTACATCAAAAGACACCTAAAAATTCCTGTAAATTAATTATAATAATACAAAATAGTTTTTTATTACAAATATTCTAAATCGGCACAAAATTCAAGTCGAAAAAGTAAAAAAATTAATTTATTTTTTGTCAAAAGTTTTGATTGTATTTTTTGATCATTTTTTCGTTTCTTTTGGTTTTGTACCTATTTCTATATATAAATATGTATAGAGCTTCTCTAATGATTTGCTTTCCAATTAAATATGATTAAAATATCTATTTAATTGCTAATAAACCTTTAGATTGTCTATAATGCGAACCGAAAAATTAATCATAAGCATCATTAAATTAATAATGGCCGCCGCCAGCAACAAAAAGAAATACCCCAATCGATTATATAAAAAAAAGAGTCTTTCCCAGAAATTAGTGCCCCTTAAAAAAGGAGAAAAATGTTGACCATTTATTTGGTTTTTATTAATGATTGAATGTGAATAATGCTTTTACTCATACGCCCCTTCCAGCAATGATTCGTTGATTGAATGGCATTTGTATTCATCGGTTTATGTACGAGTACGAACGAAAAGAGTTTTCAATTCATTAAGCAAAATAATTCCCTCGTCTTGGGGGCTCTGTGTCGTGCCTCCACAGACTTCCCAATCTCCACGCCCCCATCTTTTCGAGTCGATCCCCCAAAGAGTAGATAAAAAACGAACGTCATCAGCGAACGAAACGGAGTTCGAAAACAATTGAGCAATTTTCATACAAGATTTTTATCGTTCATCTCGAAAATCATGAAAGAAAAGTGGGATACGTAGAGTCGACGCGGGAATACTCTTTAAGATTGATTGTTGAAGCAACTTAGTTTTGATTTATCAAGAAGATAGGTTAAGTTTAAATATTTAAAACTAAAATTTCTATTATTTTTTGGTGTCATTTAAACAAAAAAAAAAATTATTTTCTAATAAAAATATATATTTTGACCGATTTTTAGTGATTTTTGGAATAGAAACTGACGTGAAGTTATGTAGACATTGCCTTGAATCATTCCTGAATTTACAAAATATTTTTGTAGCTTTTAAAAACCAATTAAAACATTTTTCGAGGCACAGTTCGCATTTTTAAATATATATATTTTTTTTATAAATTCCTAAAAATACATAGAAAAATTCTCAGAAATCAAGAGTTACTTTAAAAAATATACCAGATCCTGAACAGTCATTCTTTGGGTTGCAAAATTATTAAAAAAGTCATAAGGCTTTTCTTTACTTTTGTGTATATAAATTTTAATTAAAACGCTTTAATTTTCAATCCGGGTAGCAGTTGCTGCTGCGGTTTAGGGTTTGACTAGAGGTTAGGCTTCTGGCTAATTGATTTCCCCAAACTGTTGTGGCTGATATTTATATTCCCCTGAATTTTTTGTCTTTTCCGTGGCTCAAATGAGGGCGATGGGTGGGCGGTGACGTCAGTAAGTGCTGCGGTTGATGCCGATGCCGCCGCTGTTGCTGCCACCGCTGCTGCCACCGCTGCTGCTGCTTTGTTTGTTGGCTCCTGCCAAGTGCCAAGTCAAGTTGCATGTCACGATTCTTGGCAACAATAGCGGCAGTAGAGAGGGGCAGCTGGGGCAGCAACAGCAACAAATTGAAATGCCACTCGACTCGCGCTCTGCTCGACACCTGCGGAAATATTCGATTCCAAATAGCAAAATCGCTTGCCATATGTCTATCCCCCCTATATATATATATATATCTGTTTTGTTTGTTCAGATTTCACTCACTTTGCTCATCGAAAAGGTGAAATGCTTTTGTGTGTTTGTTGGGGGGCTACCTTAGACCTCAGCTGAATCAATTGGAATGCCAGTTTCAAGTCAACTCAAGCACGAATAATCCATACAATACTCCTGCCCCCCATCACTCCCCACAAAATGTGAGCAAATGTTTCGAGTGGCGGCGGGGCAGCAGTTGTCTGTTGTGTGGCCCCATAACAATCATTTTTTGTTTGCAAAATATGGAGATTAAATATTATGGTAGATGCCCTTTGGAGGGCAGGCAGCAGGTCATTTTCTTTTCGTTTAGGATTGCTACACTAGGAAGTGGTTTTGTAGAAGGTTTTTGTGGGTTTTTTTTGGGACCATACGACTTCTAAGGTGGTTTTCCCACAGGAATCTTCCTACAAATATTTCCCATCTCTTAGAATAATCCGTATTCGTAATATATCTGTGTCTAAACCTAGTCTAAGCGTTAAATTCTTAATCCGATTATTGACTATAATTTCGGATGGGTTTTCGGACAATTAGAACAGCATAAGTGTGGGGGAAAGATAGATGTACACTAAAACAAAGCAACAGGGGGGTACAAATATATCTACACTCGTAAACCCCAAGAGTACAGATAGATGTACACTAAAACAAAGCCAAAACCATTAGATGTGTCGATATTTACCCCTTGGATTGACCCCTCCTTCAACCTCTGACTCTATGACTCTACGGCGGGGAGGGCATATTATGTCGGTGTCCATATTGGTTTTTGACTAATACAGTTTTTGTGGAGTATCTCTATGTTTTGCCTCCAAAAACCGCACACACCCTCTGCCCTGGCTAATGCTCTTTCGGTAGCATTTGACGGCCTCCCAACCCCCCCAAACAACGGAACCCCAACCGGAATGACGTTTGCCAAAAAGTGCTTCACGTGTTTCTCCACTCCCCCCCGTTCTGTCTATTGTTATTTCTATTATTTTTGTTGTCTGTTGGATGGCTGAATGGAGGGTAGAGTGGGCGTTGGATTTCTGGTTTGGGTTTTAGTAAAAGGGCAAACGTTGCCTCAAGTTGACAGCAGCTGCTCCACAAAATGTTTCTAGTTTTAGAAACTGTATTTTTTTTTCGTTTTTGGTGTGATTTTGAATATGATAATTGCGCATGTCAATCGTTGGAGTGTGTCTTAGAGGAGGCTCTCTATGGGGCACTCTGACAACTTAATTGTTGCACTCGTTACGGAGTCGTTTTTTTTTGTTTTTATTTTGGTTTTTGTATGATTTTCAATTTGTAATTGAAGCATTTTCCATTGCCAAATCAAAGTCAGGCAAATGTCAAAAATCTTTTTGGTGAATGATCATTTTATAATGATGATTACCGTATGAATAAAAAGTCTGCTTTTTGTTTGGATTTTTGGGCCAATCTGCGGTCTTAATGATATCTCATTCATGAGACTTTTGTTGCACTTCCACTTCCAATTCCAATTCCAATTTGGGTTGAAGTTTGCCTGCGGTCTTGTGGCATTCATTGTGTCTGCCTCCCCTGTCTTTAAGGTCTCTTGTGGGTGTGTTTTTTGTATACTACGCTCGATTAACTGCGGCATTTAGACACTTTGTTGGCGGCCGCCTTTTTTTTTGTTGTAGTTGTAGTTGCATTTTGAAGTGCAAGGAACTCAAGTGCTGCAACGCCAGCTGTTGTCGATGGTTCTTTGGCCTGCAGCCTTCCCTTCTAAGTATCTGACTCACTCTAACGAATGGAACTCATTGAGATATAGTATTTAGTTTTTAGTTAGTTTTAATTGCCAAATTATTTTTATAGTGGTTCCTGTACAGGTATCTACAGAGTTTTGAGAAGTTCAGAATGAAAAACCCATAATTTGGGTTTGTTATAGAGTGCTATAAATCTTAGGGGCTAGATTTGATGTGCTATATCAAGGTTTTGAGGTCTAGAGATACCTATTTTTTTTGGAAATTAACAATTTTATACCTTCATTTTTAAAGAATTAATGCCATAATACTTTAACTTTGAGACGTTTTCAACCAAAAGATACGTAATTCTAAATTTTCTAGGCTTTATAATTGGAATTCGGATATTTTGAACAATGTCTGTGGATAAGAGAATTTTTTCCTCTACAAAAATATTAATCCGTACTCCAGAATTTAATTATTATTTTTTTTTGTTTGTATTAATAAAATAAAATAAAACTATTATTATTCCTGTGAATAAGAGAGCTGTTTACTCTATAAACAAAATCAAACCGTACTCCAAAATTGTTAAATAAATATTTTTTTTTTTGTATTATTTAAATTAAATAAAATACATAAGAGAAAAATATTATAATTAATTAAGCGAATCAGTAGCGTCGAGGCCTTCGTCTCCTTTTAGTTTATTTAAAGTCTTTGTTTTTAGGCTATTTTTTTTATAAGTACTCTTATATTATTTTACCCGTAAAAATGTGCCTCGACAACAACGATTAATATTACAATTAATTAAGCAAAGCAGTAGAATGGAAACCTTCTTCTGCCTTTAAATATGTGTAAGTCTTTCTCACATAATCTGTGCCTAAATA